CTCTCCCCAGTGACACATTTATTTTTTCTCTCAAAGGGTTAGGAAAACAAGCGTCTTGAACTTGTTCATCTCTGATAACTTTCCAAGGGTTGTATGTATGCAACATATACATACATGTGTGACATTTCAGGCAATATTGGAGAATAATGTGGGGGACTTCACACTATTGGCCTTGCCCAAAGGAAAGGAGAATTCCTGGTTCCAACAGTTTTCTCTCTGAAGGAAGAGTTGGCTATCACTCTTCATAACCCCTATCCTGCTAGCTTTTATGCTGGGCCGTGCAACAGAGGCTACATTTTTCATTAGTGCGGGTCAGCCACTCATTCTCCAGAGAGATTAGTTCTGCCCACCCCACCCCTGACTGTCTTTAAACCAAATATGATTCAGTCTTCTCGGCTCCTAACAGCTGAGGGGAGGCTCAGATGTTTGGGGTGGGGGTGGGGGAGTAGGAAATGATCCTATGACACACAGATCAGATCATGATTCAGCCTTTTTGAAGAACTCTTTAAAAAGGCTTCTTTGCCCTTTAGCTGATCCAAGAAATGCCTGCAATTCTAATTTTCCTTTGATAAAATAACAGCCGTCATTCATTTATTTATTCTTAACTACGATTCAGTCAAACAATTAAGCAAGCCATTAAATGTATCATCAATGTATATGAGTGAACAAGACTTATGACTATATGAGTTCACCTTGTTCCTATTTCAATCTTCCTTCTTCTCTGCAGCCCACACATACACTCAAGAGGTGACATTGCTGGCATAGTTGATCCTTTCTTCCTGATACAGTAGGATGAAAAAGGAGAGAGAGAGACTAAACTGAGATGTGGAAGGGAAAGTAGAAAGGACTCGGCAAGTCAATCAGAATAGTAAAGAACTGACTGGACATGGTGGGGGAGGAGAAAGAAAGAGGTGAACAGAATTTTAAAGAGATAAGAGCAAGAGAGTTTGGGGATATGGCATGTGAGATGCTCTGGGACAGCTGTAAGGTGGCAAAGGTTGGAGAGTGCAGAAGGGGATGTGGGAAGTGTCTCTAGCTTATACAATGAGCTCTCTAAAGTCCCCACAGAGATGCAAGTAAGGAATAGCTTTCTTTTCTATTTTCCATTTCTTTGTAACATTTGTTTTTAAAGTTTTTGTTGTCAGACTGTGCTTCTTTATAAACAGTTCAGTACAGAAATGGAACCAGAAGTTGTCCCAGAATTTTGTAGGGTTGCCCATATTATAAGTATTCAGAATTAGTTGTGTAAGTGCCATTTTTTTTAGACAATTTGCCAAAAATAGAGGGATTATTGTTTCTTATCCTTTGACCAACTTTTCATTTTATCTTTTTTCTTTCCTCTCCAGGCACCCAAACAAAAGGAATTTATGCCAATACAAACATAAAACATCTGTTAACTACCTGCTATGTGCCAAACAAAGATGACCAGACATGGCCCTAAGGGGCCCTAATACCAATGAGGGAGATGAACATCTGACAAATCGCTAAAACAATGCAATTGGTATTGAGATGGAGTTGGGGGCAAGGCACCACTCCTGCTTACAGGGGAGGAAACACCTGCTTAACTAACACTAAGGCCTCTGAGAAAGGCTGAGTCTTAAAGCATAAGCGGAGGTTTAGTAGCAGATGACATGGAGGAAAGGATAGGGTATTGCTGGCAACATGGATAGCTTGTGTCAAGATGCAGGACAGAAAAGAGCACAGCCCCATCAGGGGCCTGCTGTAAAGGTGGAAGTAAGGTTGCAACAGGCAGTAAGGTGACAGTGTAGACAGGGGACATTGCAGAAGGCTTTGTATGCTGCAAAAGCATACAAACTAAAACTTGTGTCTTGTGAGCAACAGGGAGGGGGAATCATAATAAGGTGGTGATAACAATCAACTCTTCATTTTAGAAATGTTCTTCAGGCAGAGATGTCTCAGAAGAGAGACTGGAAGTAAGAGGACAAAGTAGGCAGTATTGTTAGTCATTCAGGGAAAACTAAAGAATTTATTAAATAAGGCATTGACAAGGGAAAAAGAGAAGGCAAAGACATAGTTTAGTGTTGGGGATGAAAAGGATGAGGAACTTTAACTCAGATTGGGATAACAAAGCAAAGAAGTTATGGGACTCTTCTTATATTTGTGCTGCAGACAACTGGTTTGTATGCCTCTCTAAATGAAACAGATATTAGAAGAGGAACAGGCTTTGCATGAAGGTAATACATATAATTTGGAGAATATGAAATGCAAGAAATCCAAGAAACATTCAGTTAGAATGTTTAGTAATGCAGAAGAGACATTAGGCCAAAATAATGACCTCTTTATTACCCAACCTTCTCTACCAGTACCAGGTAAGAAACACAACAAGGTATTAATGCCTACAAATGGGTCAATTGATGAAATAATTTTTTTTTTTTTTTTTGAGTTGGAGTCTCACTCTGTCACCCAGACTGGAGTGCAGTGGCTGCTCCCGGCCACTGCAGCCTCGACTTGCTGGGCTCCGGCGATCCTTCTGCCTCAGCCTTCCAAGTAGCCGGAACTACAGGCATGTGCTACCACGCCCAGCTGATTTTTTTTTTTTTTTTGATTTATTGTAGAGATGAGGTCTCGCTGCCCAGGCGGGTCTCGAACCCACGGGCTCAGGCAATCCACTCACCTCAACCTCCCAAAGGCGCGGGATTACAGGTTGAGCCACCGAGCCCAGCGAAAGAATATTTTACAGACTTGTTTTATGTGCTAATAAAATGTATGTAGGATAGGCTGGAGGTTAGTAATTGATGCATGAACTGTTTATGGTGAGATGTCATTTCTCCTAAGAAATGAACACTTTGCAGACTTAGTATGAGTACTTACAATGCTTGTGTTAAGAGCTCAAAACTGGATTAATCTCTCCAGGTCAATCTACACCCCACACCTTAGTCTCCTCTCCTTAAAAAGAGACTGTTAGTACCAGTTGAAAGTAATGAGGTATTCACAGGAAGAGAAAGATCTTAAAATTTAGTTTTTAGCTTTGAAGAGAATTTTGTTGGCACCTCTCAACAATGGCCAGATTAACCTACTGTGACTTTTATAAGAGCTGAAGATGGAAGAACTGATTAGAAGGCAGCAGGCCAAATTCCTAGTGATTTTATTGTTCGGAAGAGGATTTTCTATATAGGCTTAATGACAAGTACTAACCACTCTGATGGGTGAGAGAGAGATAATTAAAAAAAAAAAATACAGTATTTGAATCCAGAGTTAGTGCCTGAGTCCACTGGTCTAAAATTAACCAAAGACTTGTTTCCATATCTTTACAATTATTAATGTGCTTCTCATTTTTCTTAGAATTGGCATCATGTATATTTAAATTTACATTTAAAAGTTTCTGGTAACCTTTGGCCCCAGGGTTCCTGAGTTAGAGGTCATCTAAATCAGGTTGGATATAGGCCCAATCCTTTCCCAATACTACTATTCTAGTTGCTGGTGGTTCAAAGGTAGTTCCAAATTTTTTAACCTTAAAAATAATCCATTTTGTAATTTTCAAGTGTTAGTGAGTTGACATCAGAGTCCTTTTTGATGAAAGATTTCCAGGAAAAAATAAGCAAATTCTTTTCATGGAACATCAAGTCAAAACAAAGAGTATCGTGGGACTGTCTCACAGCATTTCATAGAAATTAAATTCTGAACCTTCCAGGTGAATGTGCTGTGGTCCCTTAGGTGTGTTAGAAGGTCACCTGGGGAGTTACTCTGCATCAGCCCTAGATTTTTGGCATTTCCTGTTAGTTTACTTGCTGGAGGATTAAGGCAAGACTGGATTAAAAAGGAGGAGTTGGGGAATTAACTCTGCTGCCTGGGAAGATTAGCTCTTCAGGCACTGATTTCTGAGGAGAGGTTTTTTTTAACTCCACAGTGTTGCCTGGACACAAGAGCAAGGCTTCCCCTACCCCCATCTCATGTTTAATCTGTGGCTTCCTCAAAATACCTCATGTTAGTACTCACACGTTGAATAAACTGTTATTAAGAGCACCAGTGCTTAGTTGTGAATATACTCCTCGTGAGGAATCAGAAACCCAAGTACTGGTCCTAGTTTAGCTGCTGACTGCCCAAGTTACTTGCTGTCCATGAGCTCCAGTGTCCTCTAAAAAGTATAAGAGCTAATATGTGTTGAATACGCCCTAAGTTCCCAGAACTACTGCTAGCATTTTGTGCCCTGTCTCATTTAATCTTCAGATTTCTACTGCAGAGTATGGCTATAATCATCTCCATTTTGCAGTGAGGAAACCGAGGCACACGAAAGTTAAATAGTTTGCAGTCAGTAATGGCAGTTTGGATTCAAATTCTGACGGACAGACTGCCTGCAGGCTCCACCCTTATCTGTGATACCACACCACTTTCTAGGACGAAGAGAAGGGACTAGAGGATAGTGAGTGTACGTTCAGTCCCACCAGTCCCACCAGGATGGGGGGGGAGTAAAGCGGGCGGGGGTTTCATTTCTGGGCTGGGGACATACGGCATTCAGCACCAGTATTCCTTGCCATCAAGGAGAGTCTTTTGGGAATATGGCTTCACTATCAGGCCTCTAGGCAGCATTGCAGGACTTGGTTTAGTTCCTGCGCCCCACAAGAATACTTATCAGGGCCATTCTTTTCTGAGCATGTGGGTTAAGTAAGATCTCAGGGGTAGTAGGATCTTGGTGCAGCATCTGGAACGTTGGCCACAGAGAAAAATGCTGCAGCACCAAGCTGCACGCTCCCAGCTAGCTGATGGGACAGGGAACCCTAGTAAATCAGGGGGAACAGTGGAGGCTGGCGCTGGATCTCGGGGGCCAGAACTTGGCCAGGGGCTGTTGACCCGCCCGCCCCCCAAATCAAAACAAAACCAGCCGCAGCAACAGCAACAGCAAGAAACAACAACAACAAGCCAAGTGCAGGCTAAGGAAGCCGGCAATGGGCCAGGAAGGGGGCTGACCCAGGCAGGTCTTGGAAACTGTTGTGGAGGTGAGGGTGGGGAAAGGAAAGGAGAGACCCCACCAGAGCAACTTGAACAAAGGGGGACAGAGGATTAGAGTCCAATGACGGGCAGAAGCCCAGGAGCAGACAAAGTCAGAGCCAGCCCTGAAATGGAAACGAGAGGGAAAAGCAGCAAGCAGCTAACAGCTACCCAGTTGAGGAGGAAGTGCGAGATGCGCTGCTTCCTGTAGAAAGAGCGTGGACTGAAGACAAAGCTGGGTGGGGACTAGTCCCTGGGCTGCAGCCGCTGCTGGTACACACACACGACGCGGCCGCCGACTCCGTGGGCAACTCCTACTACGGCTGGGCTGGGCTGGGCTGCGCTGCGCCGCGCCCGAGCTCGCCTGCATAGACCCGCTCAGGAGAGAGGGAGAAAGAAGCCACGCTCCTCCGACCCAGCCTCGGGAGCCAAGGTAAAGCAAGCATTTCTCACGTTATTCCCTTTTAATTACGAAAAATGACCATTGTCTGTGGTGTTAAGAGCCAGGTTCTAAGGACAGATAGGGACAGTGCTTTAGGATTGGGGGGAAATGATGAGGATGGGTTCTTTTGGAACGGTTTTTAAGACACCACATTTATGACACATTTGCTTACACACACACACACACACACACACACACACACACACACACACACACACACACACACGTCAGCGCTTAGCTTTGGTGACCAGGCAGGACAGCAGGCTAAATGCAAGAAGCTATTTGCATAATTCTCTTGGAAGAAAAAACCAGGGCTGAATCGAAATCCGTTTGGGCTGCGAAGCTGTGGTTTGATCACGGAGCGATGCCTTGTTTTAGGGGTGTAACTGGTGTAAAATGTTAATTGCATTCTCTTTCTTGCATCTGGCACAGGGGTGGCTTCTGTTTTGCACCCTAATAGTTGTGATTTGGCATTTGGGGGGAATTAAATCCTTTTGTACTCAGATTTTGCCAACAAAGGCTCAAATTGCGTATGTGAGGGGCAGTATTTACCATTCAAAAACTGTCTTCCTCCCTCAGCTCCCTGCAGCTGCATTCAGGATAACCTCAGAAACAGCTACCATTTGCCAGCAGTCTTATCCTAAAGTTGCATCCCTGTTCAGAGGAGTGTGCCGGGTTTAAGGATGGTAACTTGTCCAGAAACAGACACTGGTGTACATATGGATTTTATGTTTATATGGATTTTATTCAACTCTAGGTCAAGGTAGGTGTTAACCTCAGTGAGGGACAAAATATAAAAGCACCGCTGGGTTGTTTCTTTACCTGTGTAGACTGAACTAGTAAAATCAGAATGCAATTTTTACTCTTTGATTTTCTTGAGCAATGCATGCTCCTAATGAGAGCCTGGGACCATGACTTGTTCATATTTGTGAATGTTGTGTAAAAGTACAATAAACAGGTCTAACGGATCAGAACTGAGATTGTACGATTCCTTTAACAAGATATGTGAGAGAGAGTTTAGTATCCTAGTGCAGCATGATTTAAAGAATGGTCTTTGTATCTTCAACAGAAAGCACAGCCAAGCAATAAAGAGTCATGGATAATAGATTTTTTTTTTTGAGTTTTTTAAATAATGAAAAGATAATTTTTCAAAAGAAAGAGAAAAAACTGCTTATAATGGAGTGAAAATAAATGTCATCTTTTGACACTGATAAATTCTTAAAATACAGATTCTTAAGCACCAAATATGCCAGTTGAGAGTATACGTGTATGCCTCCTTGTGTATCACTATTCTCCATTATAAAGAGCTATTGGGCTTTTTTTTAATGCTGTCTTTATGAAATTGATTTGGCTTCTCAAAATTTGTAGAGTAGTAGCACATTTTCAGAAATAGGAAGCTTTTATAGGTACTAAAGGAAAAAAATGTCTATTTCTCTGATGTTACTTTCTCATTAAAGTAAGCCTGCAACATGTCTTAGAGACAAACTATTACTGGTTTCCAAACCATGGAGCTTCTTTGAAAGATTTATTGAATTTAAGCAAAGTTGCAGGCAAAGCAAGTCATGCCACAGATCCCACAGTTCCATTTTCTATTTGGGTTCTAAAGTAAAATATGTAAAGATAATCTTCCCAGAGAGGAGATCTAGGGTAGATCTTAGATCCAGAATGCCCCAATGGAGTTCTATGATCAAATGCACATCATTCAACGATGTAAAAAGTTGGAGATCTGGGCTTCATGAATGAGGACAGGGTTACCCTTTGATGTGTACTCATCTGCTGGTTGAATTCACTAGATAATGCCAACCAACACCCTGCTTTGTTTGGGGTTGCATACGCAATCTGCATCACCCTTCTATGTGTGTTTCACACAAGAGTAAGGAAAGGAAACCTTGCCCAATAGGTAGAGTCAAGAGGCCCCCACGCTATCTTTCTTCAAACAACTAAGAGGTGCCTGTTTTCTGCACAGCACAACACATTTCCTTAGCTGTTAAATTCTAGTTTGAAGCAGAACATTAGTGAGTAACAGCAGATCAGTAACTAGGATGGTAGAATGTTTAGGAAAAAGATAAGTATGCTCTCCTCTGCTGTAAAATGAGACAGTTTCCACTTCTTCTGGCCATATGGAATATTGAAAGACAGCATGCTTTTGCTCAGAGTATTCAGTGGCTTTTGAGGGAGTCGACCAACACTGAAATTTTAATTGTATTTTTTTTTCCTACCATATGGCCAATGGCTGGATAGAAACATGACTCCTTTATTTCATGGTCAGCCTTGGGCCTCATATGGTGGGCTTGTAGTGAATGTGTTTGGTTGACTGGCTTTTTTTGCCTGCTTCAGAAGGCAGGCTCAACTTTTAAGTCTAAAAGCTGTGCAGTCAAAGGAGAAAGCCTGTTCAAAAAGACTTCTGTGGGTAAAAGAAAGGAACATCATGAACGAAAAGAACATAGGCTTCCAAATCGGGCACATCTGCCTTTGAATCCCACCACTGGTCCTTACTACTTTAACTTAGGAAACTTAGTTTCTTCATTGTAAAGAAGGGTTCATAGTACTTAGTCAAGGCTTTTGTTTTGTTTTGCTTTTGCCTTTGGATAAGTGAGTGCCTGGTATAGGGAAGGTATTCAAATGTCATTTTTTCTTCGTTGGTGGCATAAGAAGAGAAGTTAGCATCTTCTTGACCTCTGCCACTGCCTCAAAGGTTTAAGGAGAGGTTTTTTTTAAAAAATTTTTATTGTGACAAAATATACACAACATAAAATTTCCCATTTTAACCATTTTAAAGCTTATCATTCTGTGGTATTAACTGTATTCATATTACTGTGCTATTAACCACCACCCACTCTCAGAACTCTTTTTAGCTTCAAAACAAACTCTATACTATAAACAATCACTCCCCATTCCCCCTACTCCCAGCCCCTGGCAACCACCATTCTACTTTCTGTCTCTATGAGTTTGGGTACCTCCTATGTGTGAAATCATGCAATATTTGTCCTTCTGTGACTGGCTTAATTTGCTTAGCATAATGTTTTAAAGATTCATCCACATTATAGCATGTGTTAGAGTTTCTATCCTTTTTAAGGCTGAATAATATTCCATTGTATTTCTCTATAACATTTTATTTTTTTATCTGCATATTTTTCCTTTGATGAACATTTGAGCCACTTTTTGGATATGCTGCAATGAACATAGGCATACAAATATTATTAGAGTCCTTGCTTTTACTTCTTGTGGGTACTCAGAATTAAAATTGCTGAAACATAGTAACTACATGTTTAATATTTTGAGGAACTGCCAGCTGCCGTTTTCCATAGCAGCTGCACCATTTTACATCCCCTCCAGCAGTGAACAAGGATGTCCATTCTCCACAAACTCACTAACACTTTTTTTTCTGGTTTTTGTTTGTTTTTGTTACTAGCTGCCTTGATGGGTATGAAATGGTATCTCCTTACGGTTTTGATTTGCATTTTCCTAATGATTAGTGATGTTGAGCATCTTTTCTTGTGCCTATTAGCCATTTGTATATCTTTGGAGAAGTGTTTATTCAAGTTCTTTGCCATTTCTGCCCTGCCCCCCAAGGTGTACTGTATTGAGAATCTATACTGATTTTTAATCAAATTGTTTTTGAGGAGACATTTTAAATGGCAGGTTCTCTTAACATAAAGTGTCATTAAATCAAGATCATAGTATTTGTATTCAATCTTCTCTATACAACAGTATTATCTCTGCCTAAATAAAATACCGTTCTCAAAAGCAACTTTTAAATCAAAAGGAGAAAGTAAGAAAATATGCATAGCTACTGTTAGCCGGTACTGTCAAGAGCCTGATAGTAAAATTCAAATCTTTATTGTAGACAGTCACACCACTGACCCTGCTGGTCAAGTCAAGGACCAGGATATTACCAAGGAGACACTGGGGGGCTGTTGCTTTAGTGCCTTTCTGATCCCCTCTCATTAGTTGAGGTTTTTCAGGATGAAAAAGGTGCTTAGTAGTTTGGCTGAGCGTGGTGGCTCAGCCTGTAATCCCAGCACTTTGGGAGGCCAAGGTGAGAGGATTGCCTGAGCCTGGGGGTTCGAGACCAGCCTGGACAACTTGGTGAGACCTTGTCTCTACACTAAATCATAAAAATTAAGCAGGGCGTGGTGTCATTCATCTGTAGTTCCTGCCACTTGGAAGGCTGAGGTGGAAGGATCGCCTAAGCCCAGCAGGTTGAGGCTGCAGTGGCCGTGAGTGTGTCACTGCATTCTAGCCTGGGCAACAGTGAGACTCCAACTCAAAAAAAAAAAAAAAAGAAAAATAGTTAGCAGGGTTAGAAACAGGAAAAACGAAAGTACTAAATTACTTTCTAACCCTTTATAATGGAGAGCTTAACCAGAGGGGTGGGGCTGTAATACAATAGGCTTCTTAGATAAGTTTCTACTAATGAAATGTGATTCTAATCTAAATTTCACTTAAAAAAAATAAAGAATCCCTCTGTTTCACTTCCCACTACATATTTCCCTCCTAATTGTGAAACCAGTGTGGCAGATTATGGATGGGCCCGAGTAGAGCTGGGCAAAAAGATTGGTGAGGACCTTACTGAATAGCAATAATATCTGAGTTTTATGATGTGGATACAGACTTCTACTTTAAATGACTTAAAGAGTTCCCAAATGGCTGGGCTCAGTGGCTCAGCCTATAATCCCAGTACTTTGAGAGGCTGAGGCGAGTGGATAGCCTGAGCCCACATGTTCGAGACCAGCCCAGGCAACTTGGTGAGACCTCATCTTTCCAATTAAAAAAAAAAGAGTTCCCAAATGGTTTATATTAGCTTTCTATAATGCATTCTGTGCCTGTGTGTGTGCTGGGGAGGAGGTTGTGAATGATGACCCCCAACTTTATATAATTTGGGGGTTTATTCATTCTACAATTACCATGAGAGCCTAGGTACCTGGCTTTACTACATCTGGGTAGGAAAGGAAAGGTACAGTACTGTATTAAGACTTAGTCCCCCCTCT